ACAGCTGAGAGAATGGTTACACATGACTGCATGGTCGGCCATCTATCTGATAGTTGGCTCATATTCTGATTCTCTTCGGATTGCGGGGATCCTAATTGCTCTGGTCTTCACAGACATGCAGATCAAGGTACTCGTATAACTGAGGCCCTTCACCGACCGCAAACGCAGATTCTACTAGCAGTCAGCCCAATTATTCCTTTACTGCGCCTGGGCCGCCAACGTCATTCGGCCTCAAGCAGCCGATCTGTGCCGATTACATGCCAGGCTGTCAGGCTTCAGCCTAACGTACGAACGATGAGTGGCTGAAAAGGGAACAGCGGAGCCCCGACACGTGATGTTGAGACGGCCAGGTCCGCGTATGGAGTTTCCAAGCCACTGTCGTGGAACCACTGAGCCTCATCTTACTGCGGAGAAGATTTAGCTGGTCGATCCTCAAGGCTTAGATTTTACGCGTATCAAAATCCCAAAGGAGCCCCAACACTCAAACCTGGCTGCTGATGGTTTTACTCTGTGCAGTGGCGTCATATGTCTTGGTGAAGCAAGAGGTGAGACCCTGGCAGGCAGTCTTGGTGTTTGGCGGATGCGGCCTCGATATATAATAAGTTGAATCATGGCCGCTCCTGGGCCATTGTAGTTGTGGTCTGTATCTCAAAGTCAGAGTCACATTCTCAAGAAAACAACCAGACCATTTTTAAAGCCATGGTTTTCTCTCACAATAAGTTTAGAGCTTTCGTCTCACTCACTCTACTCTCTGCGGCTAAAGCGAGCCCGACTTGTAATTCCAAAATTCAATGGGGTGACTGCGGCGAGGACATCACGAACATCACCGAAGCAATTGGCGGCCTACCTGTGCAATGTGGAACTTTGCAGGTGCCCCTCGACTATAGGTTTCCAAACTCGACCGAAAAGCTTTCGTTAGAACTGGCCCGAGTGCCAGCCGTCACTCAGCCCTCGAAGGGCAGCATACAGCTTAATTTTGGAGGACCCGGTATCCCAGGCCGACGAACCCTGGCTCAAGCGGCTTCGATATACATGAAGTCAGTCAACAAAAACCTGTATGGGCACTTCAAGTCTCCGCCAACTGACTAACGCTTCTGCAGCTTCACTGGCGGCCAGTATGACCTCATCGCGTTCGACCCCAGGTATGCATCCATGTCATTTTACTACAGAGACATATGCTTGTCTGAATCGTTGCTAATGGCACACTTCCAGAGCTACCGGCGGCACAGCATTTTCCTGCTTCACCGACCCATGGCTAAAGCGCAGCACAACCTTCAATGCCGGGGTCGCAAGCACCGCGTCGGATGTAGCTGAAGGACAGCTCTGGGCTGCGGGCACGGTATACTCCAACGCTTGTCTTGAGACGCAGGCCAAGAACTCAAGCCATGTCAATACCCCTTTTTACGCACGAGATTTGATCAGCGTCGTCGATGCACTGGGCGAAGATGGCATGCTGCGCTTCTGTCGTGAGTTCATGCCCGCAAGGTACATGACGGTGCTAACAGACAATTGAAAAGGTCTGTCTTACGGCACCATCGTTGCTGCGACAGTCTCAGCCATGTTCCCGGAGAGGATTGATAAACTGGTGTTTGATGGCGTGCAGAACCCTCACGAGTATTACTATGCCCTTGGGGTACGTTTTTGATCATGTTGTTAAACAGCAACCCCAGCACTCACAACATATAAGACCTTGTTGACCAAGTTTCAGTGATTTCGAAGAATGGACGAACACGGACGAAGTCTTCTCTGCCGTCTTCTCCACCTGCCTCGACTTCCCTGAGAACTGTGCCCTGTCCAAGTACAACAGCTCTGGTGCCGAGCTCGAAAAGAAGTTCTGGGATTTCCTCGAGACAATCAAATACGACCCTCTCGTTCTGGGACCCGCCACGATCGACTACTCGACCCTCAAATTTATCACTGCCCTCAACCTCTACGACGCATCAAGCTGGCCGACTTACACGGCGTTCCTCGATCTCCTCATGACGCGATCCAACGATACACTGGCCTTGCAGACCATGACGAAAAATGGATGGCTTACCACTCAATCCGAAGGCGACGAGGCGATCTTCCAGATCCGCTGCGGTGACAGGGTGGCACGAGCTGCCAGTCTCGAAGAGTTCAAGCCTGCGATTGACAGGCTGACCAACACGAGCCGTGTCTACGGAGATCTGGTCATAACTCTCAATGCTGCTTGCGCGCAGTGGCAGGTCGGCGCCGCCGAAAGACTCGATTCCGACTTTCACGTCAAGACGAAGAACCCGGTCTTGTTCGTCGGCAATACCTGGGACGGACACACGCCGCTCGTGTCAGCAAAGAACGTGAGCTCAACGTTCGACGGGAGCGGTCTCTTGGAGATTCGCGGCTATGGTGTAAGTGATCCTGGACATTCTTCCTTGTCCGTAGTCGGTCCATTATAGTATCTTGAGGCTGACTGAGGCGATCTAGCACGGTTCGCATGTCCTGCCTTCTTCGTGCTCGCTCAAGGCGATTTCTGCTTACTGGAACGATGGTGTTCTGCCGGAGCCTGGGACGGTATGCCCGGTGGAAGGGGTGCCTTATTCAGGAATAACGTGGGCGGATGTGTTTGCCGAGGTCGCGAGCAACAAAACAGCCGCCACGTAGTGCATTTGACTGGATATCTCTGTTTCTTGATACAGAAGTGACATCAAGCCTTGCGAATTACACTAAGGATAGAGACGGAGAAATTCAAGAGTGCGAGAACTAGGATATGCGTCATGACTTGGTTTGATAGCAAATTTACAGCTGAGCTACTTTCTTTCAGTCCTACTGTATGTGCGAGTCGTCAACTAAAGGCTTAGGTACTATAAGTGTTCGAGGCAGTGGAACAGGAGCTACGCAGTCACTTCTTTCCGATTCCGAGTCACTTCCGGGGCCCAATGCACAAATGATTGGAAATTCTTGCTGATATACTTGCGCTGTTCAGGGGGGGTGTCTTTTTAATCAATGCCGCGCTCCGGACATGAATTTAGACATGATATGGCGAACTACCACGTCAAACCTGCCCCGACCTTTTTGCCAAAGCATCGAAGCATGTTCCTTGGTCATTCCAACTTCATTATGTCTCACTGGAATCCTTTTCCAGCCCCAGGCTATACTGCAATACCCGACGCCAATTGAGACAAGCGTATGAGACGACTGCCGCAGATATTGCGAGGACGCATTAACCAAGCTGGACTCCGCACTCCTTTCGGCAATGACATGCCACCGACACGCCTTGGTCCATGCACCCCTCCCGGAGGGTTTCGACGACAGGCAGCAGTTTTACCAAAAGGAGTTTCCATTCCCCGCGACAGACGGTTCACAAAACACTTTCTTTTCGACTTGTTTCCATCCAGAGACAGCCTTTCGTCACGGTCGTGTAACTCACGGTCGTGTAACTCGTTGGTCAGACAGCATCTCGAATACACCTCGAGACCACGGCAACTCATACCACGCACCTCGTCAACTTAGCGAGCGGCATACACACAATCATCACAACGGATAACCTTGTTGGCAACTCTAAAAGCTATGCTCTTCACAGCCGTTGTAGCCATCCTTCTCGCCCTCGGTCCTCTGACTGCCCACGCCAAGTCACAGGGCATAGTCACGCATCCGACCTCCGACACAAAGCTTGACCTCGGCAGCGATGATCGGTCCATGAAAATCACCTGGGCGTACGAAGGCGACTCGGGAAAGTGGGATCACGTTGATCTTGTTCTCCATGGCGAGTCGAGAGACGATGCAGGCTCCACCAAAGAATGGTCTGCAAGCGTGCGAATGGACATCGATTTGGGTGCACGCTCTTTCACATACAACTCGACAAGAAGTCCCACTTTGCTGGACGACATGATGCTCAGATACATGGACGGAGGACGCTGGGCGGTTCGATATGGCGTTCGCTACCGCAGATGGGACGCGCTGGAGGATGTCTTCTTCTCTGAACCTGTGGCGGTGGAAGGAAAGCCATGTAATGGATTGTAAGTAGGAAGGTAGTCTAGGTTGACTAATTCATGTGGTTGCCATGCACGCTGTCTCGAGGTTCCTCGACATCTTGGTTGGGCTACTGTTTTGGTGGTTCCAGCTGGCAGTTCTCTTTCTTCAGCAGGGGCTCCACGCAAGAGCGCTAACCCTGATGCCTCATAGCGCCAATGGCCTCTGCGGAGCCCCCTGACACCCCCGAAAATGGTCAGCCGCGTCTGTCTTCACCTGCCTCGATGGGGGGGGCTGCATGCACCTGCCGTTGGATCGCTGCTTGACTCCTTCCTTTTCCTCCACCGCATGCTCATAACTACATCCTGATCGCACATCACCAGGCTACAGCACCAAGAGCACCAACGACACTTTGGCATCGGCCATGTTGTCCCCGGAGAGAGACACAGCAGCCGGCGATTCGCAACATGTGTCTTCAAGCACTGCCCAGCACACCCACGTTCAGTTTGCCCCCCAGGCACTGACGCCCACGACGCCTTGGACATCTCTCCATGACCCCGTGCCGCATCTTTCTGAGGCCTCGTCCACATCGCCAGCCGAAACCTGGCGACTGGATCACTTTGTGTCCGAACCAGGCTACCTCGAGTATCAAGAGGAGCTTCGCTGCCTCATCTTCAACACGGCCCAGACTGCCGCGCCCACCCGTGAAGGCACCCCCGAGCCTGGCACCACCCTTCCCGAGGCCCTTCCGTTGGTGCCCTCTTTTCCGAGCCCCTCAAATGACGCTGCGAACCGCCGCCAGGCCGCTCAAACCCTGGCATCGCCTCGGCGTTTAGAGTTCCTGAAGAATTACGTTGCTGAGGTCGCTCCGTGGCTCGACATGTTCGACAGCGACCGGGCCTTCGGCATCCAGGTCCCAGTGCTTGCTCAGTCCTCACCTGCCCTTCTCTACGCCGTCCTGGCCCTCTCGGCTCGCCAACTGGAGCGCAAGGAAGGCAGACAGTCCTCTTTCGACAGTCTCGAACTCTACCAAGAGGCCATCCGGTTGCTCACACCTCTATTGCAGGTTCGTGATCAAAAGATTATCCCCATTTGCACAATTCTCTGCTGTATGGAGATGATGTCGGCGAGTGCCCAAGATTGGAGGAAGCACCTCGAAGGCTGTGCTGCCTTGTTCGACTCATTCAACGTTCACGGCTTCACCGGGGGTTTATTGCAGGCTGTATTTTGGTGTTATGCAAGGATGGGTAAGTAGGGCGGCAAAGACCTCCTTCATGCCTTTTCTGAAGTGCACATCCTAACAGCACACCACTAGATCTCTGTGGTGCCCTCATTTCGGATGGAACGGAGAACACTCTTCTGCAACCTTCGAAATGGCTTCCTAGTGGTGCTACACACTCTGAGGCTGTGGACCTGTTTCGCCAGTCCACTTCGCCGGACATGTACGCCAACCATGCCGTCTACCTCTGCGCCAAAGTATGCGAGCTTGTCGCAGACCGCACACGCTTTTACGAGCTTGGCGACGACACCAGCGTCAACCCTGACGACCTGAACGACCGCTGGCTCCGTCTGTGGGATGACCTTCAGTCATGGAATCTAAATCGGCCGCCCGAAATGCTCCCTGCTCAGACCATCCAAAGCACGCCTTTTCCCCAGATCCTCTTCCTACACTGGGCCGCCATATCCTCCAACCAGCTCTACCACACTGCTTGCGTCCTTCTCCTCGGTTCCACGCCACGCCCCTCGAATCTGAAGCTCGGCATTAGCGGCTCGGCCGTATGGCATGCCAAGCACATCTGTGGCATCTCCCTCGCGAACCCGCACCAGGGCTGCTTGAACAATGCAATTCAGCCTTTGTGGGTGGCAGGGCGTCTTCTGAGCCACAAGTCCGAGCATGCCCTTCTCGTCCAGCTGATTCGGAGCATCGAGGCCATGACGGGATGGGGTACATGCTGGCGGATTGACGACCTGGAGTCGGCATGGGGCTACAAAGTCCGCGGCAAAAGTTCGCGCATGACCAACCTCACGGTCTGATTCTGAACGTAACAACTGCACACTCCCCTTCATCCAGTGGCCATACCCCAGTCTTCTCGAGCCTTGGTGACGAAGAAGCTGACGTCCCACCCTGTCATGGTCTTGATCTTTTCGAAACAGCCGAGCACGGCCAGTTGTTGCGGCTCATATGTCATGCGCTGAGCAGCTCGGTAGAGTGCAGCCACCAGACACAAATCCCAGCTATCCCGTCGGTCGTTGTTCATCGCTATACCGCAGACACGTTGGGCATGCCATAGCGGCGACATGGTAGGGTCCTTTCGCGCGGCACCGACGGACAGGGTACGAGGCCGGTGCTGCAACATGAGAAGCATGGCCGTGTGGTATAATTGGTTCGCGAAAACGGCGGCGCCATTCGTGAAAAGCAACACTGGGAACAAACTGTCGTCGACTTCCATCTCGATCATGGGATGGAATTCTCGAGGACGATTGGTGTACCAAGTGCTCAAAGCGTCATGGAGCATGGTCCACCGTTGTACCGGCGACCGCGGAGCACTGCCAGTGGTGGAGAAGGCTGGCGCTGGAAAGCTACAAGCGCCAAAGTTGACAGCTTGGGCGCACAACAAAAGAGATTCGCTCGCGGACTGGAACACAGTGTCGGCAATAGCCGATGTTTGCCACTCTGGGGGGGTTGCTGGATAGTTGAGCTGATCCGGAATCGACACAGTCGTGCCATTGACGAGGGCTTTGCCGAGGTCTTGTTGGGAGCATCGTCAGCTGGAGACTCTGTCGGACAAACGAAAGCGAACTTACCCAGTCTCAACAACAACCCAAGCACTGATAGTCGTAATTTCGAAGGCGGACGCCCTAGCTCTTTGAAGTGAGCGCCATCAGCGAGAAGACATGTTGTACTATGCCACGCGCCAGGCACATCTCTGAGGAAGTGCGTTGTACTGGCGAGTGCTAGATGAATGAGCTCGCAATCGTTGACGGACTCGAGGTCCTGATTCTGCATGAAGCTGGTGTCGGTTATGATATGGAGGGAATGATCCTTCGTTTGTGTTAGCCGTTCGGCTTGTAACGACTGGGACGACAGCACAAGCAGCGAGTGCAGTGCGCTTCCAGATTCCATCGCCAACCGTGGCACGACGAGGCCAAAGCACTGGCTCATGTCGCAGATGTCTAGCCAAGGAGCAACTTGGTATCGGTATTGTCGGAGCAGCTGCAGAATCGTCTCCTGCGAGATGGTCCCGGTTACCGACGCACCTGCGCTGCTGGGTGAGGAAACGAGGGGTGGATGCAAGGCCGCCACACGTTCATGGCTTGGGGAATGGATAATTTGAGGTGGTTCATCGTTGCCGAGAGACAGGAGCACAGTCAGGGCAGTTTGGTAGTCGGCGTCTTTGGGAGACGCCTGCATCCTATCGGTCATCACGACCATAGAATGCTGTGGCGAGCTCCGAATGGGATCTCCATCCTGTGGCCAGGGTCCCGGCGTGAATTGGTCATTGACGAACGGCACTTGCTCTCTGGGAGTTTCAACTGCCGTAAGCTCGTGTGCTTCTGGATTCATTGGCGTCGACTCCATCAGTCGCTCCAGCGTGGCGCCTGATGCCGTCGGCGACGTCGTCATGTCATTGTTGCCATCACCCCCATCTGACTCTTTCGAGGTTGAGACTGATGACCCAGGATCAACAAACTTTGAACCATCAGCAATATTCAGTCATGGCAGGGATACATGACCCGGTACGCACCTGAAGACGAGAGTACTGCGTCTCGTTCGATTTGGGCGTTGGCGGCACTGTGAGAGCATTCTTGTGCAAGAACGTCAATCTCGGGCCGTACTGGCAGTCAAAGCCGCCCTCAATGCAGCGCCGACATTTTGGCTTTTCCTCGTCGCCTGATCACAGCATGTCAATTTCGCGACTCCAGAGCAGGCCTCTCGCGGTCCGAACCCCAGTGGGCATGTCACCCCACAGGCACAGCCAAGGTGCCACAGGACTGGAACGTCCCGGGGATGGTGGGCCGACTCACATTTGCGGCGCCGGGTCCGACATTTCATACACCCGGTCCTCGTCCTCTTGTGGCGACTTCTGGACGGAGCGTCGTCGGTCGCCATGCTTGTGCTCGCGCAGGCCCCGTGTCTGGCGAGAGGGTGGGAGGGATATTTTGGTCGGATTGGGACGAATGACGGAGGGAGACCATGGGCGAGTTGGGTTCAACAAGTGGAGGGCCATGTGGCTGGGTGGGGGGGAGAACAGGGCACGACGTCTGGGGAACTGATCCTGACTTGGGGGATCTACCAAGGGTCTCTGCAGGCGAGCCTCGGGCTGTGAGGTAGGTGGACATGTTCCCCCTCTGAGGTCTCCTGTCATCTCCAAGAATACCTGAGCTGAGGAGGCCTATGACTTTTCCACAGGCTCAACATCTGGACAAAGCGGCATTCGTGTCATTTCCGCAGGCGACGAACGGCGAAACGACGGAGAAAATGAAGACAACGGCGATTTCCCCGCATCGGCCTCGGTGTTGGCGAGTCAAGAGACAAAGCTCAAGCAGCAAGATCCCTGTCGAGGAAATCAAGCGGGCCCTCTTCCAGCGGTTAGAATGTCCCAAAATGGAAGCCAGTGGCTAACATGCCTCTTTGGGTCACCATGATGAAATGTATCAGTGGTCCCGCATCGTGGATGTGGGATCTTACAGAGAGTTGAAAAGGAAGAAAATGTCTGGACGAGGATCGCGGCCCTGATCGGTCCTCATTTGCATAACGCACTCCCTTCACAACCAAGTCACCTCACTAATCTCCCCCAAAATCTCAGCATGGGCAAGTCAACGATTACCCTGGCGTCAGGCCACGAGATGCCTCTGGTGGGCTTCGGCCTGTGGAAAGTGCCCCGCGAGACTTGCGCCGACACTGTCTACAATGTATGTTTCGACCACCATGTGCCCTCGCGCGACAGGGAAACATATTAATGTCTTCTTTTGCAGGCCATCAAAGTCGGCTACAGGCTGTTCGACGGAGCGTACGACTACCAGAACGAGAAGGAGGCCGGCGAGGGGATCCAGCGCGCGATCAAGGAGGGGCTCGTCAAGCGCGAGGATATCTTCATCACGACCAAACTGTGGAACAACTATCACCGCAAGGAGCATGCCATCGATATGGCGAGGAAGCAGAACGAGGCCTGGGGTCTTGGCTACATTGACCTCTTTCTCATCCACTTCCCCTGTGCCCTGAAGTACATTGAGCCCTCGAAGCTGCCCTACCCGGTACGTCGTCGCCATCTGTGTAGACTCAAAATTCTCTCCAAAGTCTGACCCTCCCTAGGCCTGGTGGACCGATGCCGAGCGCTCCTCTGTCGAAACTGACAAGGTCCCCATCCGCGAGACGTGGGAGAGCCTCGAGTCGCTCGTCGACGAGGGTGTTGCCAAGTCCATCGGCGTCAGCAACTTCCAGGCCCAGTCTCTCTACAATGTCTTCACCTACAACCGCCACCCACTGTCGTCTCTGCAGATCGAGCACCACCCCTATCTCGTCCAGCCCGAGCTCGTCCAGCTCGCGCAGGAGAACAAGATTGCCGTGACGGCCTACTCGTCCTTCGGCCCCCAGTCCTTCATGGAGCTGCCGCCTGCGTTCAACAAGCGCGCCCGCGGCGCACAGGGTCTCTTTGAGGTCGAGTCCATCAAGTCTCTCGCGGGCAAGTACGGTGTCACGCCGGCGCAGGTGCTCCTGCGGTGGGCGACGCAGAGGGGCGTCGCCGTCATTCCCAAGTCGAACAGCCAGGACAGGCTGAAGCAGAACTTGGAGGTCAACGGGTTCGACTTGACGGCGGAGGAGCTGGAGAGCATCTCGGATCTGGATCGGGGGTTGAGGTTCAACGACCCGGGATTCTACCTGCCAGATCACCCGCTGCGCATTTTTGCTTAGTGAGAAATGTGAATTGATTCGGGACAGTTGGATTCAGGGACGGTTGAAGTGTAGATGCATAGACAAAAGAGACGATAATGAAAATTAGAATAGACAAAAAACGTTCATCCCCAGCCTCTTCGCCCTCCTAATGCTCGTCACAACATCTTTCTCCCAAGTTTGGGTGTGGAAACAGCGGGTCTGTAAGACGTATTTACTCAATTACGCTCTGTGAGAAAGCAACAGGTAAAGACATCTGGAGCACGGCGAACATCCGAGAAATCAAACATTTGACTGGCCGATTCCTCCGACGTCCCCGATTCGAGAAACGGGGACTCCCGCAACCGCCGTCCGTGTCCGATGGCATCTGGAACCGCCCCCCTCCTTTCCTTGTTAGGCAATGGGAAGCACTCCCACATTGCCTCTCCCAAGAAGGGCAATCTTAACACTGCATCGCCTCTCATATGGACCAAGCCCCTCGTTGTACTTCGGCAACGATGAGGCTCCGGGTCTACTTTCCTCTATCATAAGAAACATATTTTGGCGAGCGATCATTTGATTGAGCGACATTCTACATATTCGAGACAGTCACTGAACACACAAGGCCTGTCGCACGACCGCAGCAGATTGACGGCCAGGGAAAGAAAACGGAATTGACGACAAGAAGCCGCTGACTTCCGGAACGAATCAGGGCCATTGGCGCTTCAAGAGCATAATACACAAGTCGATCGATCATCAAAATGGCACCCGCGGTGCTTGAACCCGAGGTCGCGTGCTGTCTCCCCGTGAAGAACAGCAGTAAAGGCTTCACCAGTACCACCATCAAGGAGATCCCTGCTGTCAACGACGCCGAGGTCCTCCAGGCGCCGCTACCCAACCCTTCACTCCAAGTCACAGCCGACCACCGGATCAAGACTGTTGAGGCGCCAGTCCTCGCACCGAAGAAGGGGGAGGTCCTGCTCCAGATCAAGGCAACGGGCGTGTGTGGGTGAGTTTGAACCCCCCAAAGCCATCCGCTCTTTTCTTTTCATCTCGGGACATTTCCCTGACGGAGCAGCTCCGATATTCACTTCTGGAAATCCGGCCGCATCGGCACCCTTGTGGTCGAAGGCGACTGCATTCTCGGCCACGAGGCCGCCGGCGTCGTCATCCGTGTAGGAGAGGGCGTCACCAACTTTGTCCCCGGCGACCGGGTCGCAATCG